GAGGCTGGCCACGCCACAATCCCTTCTCCTCCATTCTCCTCTCGGGATCTTGGGCACACACGCACATGCACCCACTGTGAGTTTAAGCCACTGGGTCCGGGACTTGAACCATGGTTGACTACATGTGAGTCCAGCAACATAGCCATTATGCTAAACTGCTGGTCCCCCTGCCATGTTTTTTTCATACCACTAGGGCCAGGATTCAAATTACAGCCGGCTGTGTGAGACCTGGTTCCCTTAACCACTAGGCCACAGGGCCATCCTGACCCCTCTTTACTTTTCTCCTTTCTAAATAATGCTCATTTATAAAGAAATTATTAAGATACTGTAAAACAAACAAACAAACAAACAAAAAAATTCCTCTAATTTACTTAGAATTGTAACCATTGATACAAGGACTTGAATGCTATGTTTAACACTGTTTATACTTGTTGAGAGAATTTGTTAATAAAAATGATCATCAAGATTTAAAAGAAAAATGTTTAATCTTAATCTTAAAGGCAAAATTTTAAGGTTTTTGATATAGAGGCATTTCTTAAAGAACACTGGTTTAGAAGCATTCTTATTTTGTTGTTGAAACAAGTACCTAAAAATTTTAATAATAGGGGCTGACAAATGACATGGTGGTTAAGGACTCTGGATTCCCATGTGGCCGACTGCAGTTCAAGTCCTGGACCTGGTGGCTTGCTTTCTTACTCCTCTCCCCCCCCACCCCTGTCCCTCTCTGGTCAAATTAAAAATAAATAAATAAATAAAGTTAAATAAAATAATTCTTTCTTTTTTTTGGAGAGATTTTCACTATAGGGCACGTGCACTCGCCAGACAGAGAGACATAGAGACAGAAAGTGAGAAATCACCCCCCAGGGGGGATGGTCATGCCACAATCCCTTCTCCTCCATTCTCCTCTCGGGATCTTGGGCGTGCACGCACACGTGCCCGGCATGAGTTTTAAGCCACCGGGTCCGAGAGGCGAACTGCGGTCGACTACGTGGGAGTCCAGCGACATAGCCATTACGCTAACTGCTGGTTCCCAAATAAAATAATTCTTTAAAAAAATATAATAATATTAAGTTTATATTTGTGCATCAAAAGCCCATCATTTCTTCATTAACTCACCTGCCCATACAACAGATACATTTTGCACACTTCAAAGTGATAGACAAATGTCTGAAAACACAAGGTAAATAAGGCCTCCCTAAGAAAGCTTACATTCTAATGCAGATATAATACAAGCAAAGAAAATAATTAAATTTTATAAATATCCAGATAGAGAAAAACACAACTGGAAACATGAAAGCCAAGTTCCTGATAGCTAAAAATATCTCTCTGGTCAAAAGGCAGTTAGAGAAATAGGAAAGAAATTTGCCTTAATGTCTGTTACTTGAACCTTCTAAGTTACTGTACCTTCCTCCTTGACAGGAACTGATTGGAGCTGAAGATGTAAGAGATCATGGCAGCAAGAGATGACAGAGTCAAGAAGACATGCCTATCAGTATCGGCTAAGCATTGTCAGAGGGAGAAGGTAAGGAACCATCTGGTGCACACATGCATTGTAGAGGACAGAGTGAAATTTCGAGCAAAGACCCAGAGAGCTGGATCTGGGTACTCGTTTCGAGTGTAAGCTCTCCCACTTCTTAGCTACAAACTCTACTCATGTACAAACCTCCTGAGCCTTTTTACTAGTAGGGTGGCGATGACAGTATTGGCCGTCTCTAGGAGTCTAGTCATGATTACACGACATGACATGTGGAGTAAAGTGTCTAGAAGTCCCAGGCAGACAAAATCTATGAGTTTTACCCATAATTACTTACTCTCATTGTCTCAACTGCCTCAATGTCCATCTTTGTAAAATAGTCATAATAATGCTTTTCTGAGCCACTCTACAGTATTGTTTTGAAGATCAAATAATTTAATATATATGAAAACCTTACATAATTTGAACTACTACCCAGTAATTTTTTTGAAGTTCTTTACAAATGGTAAACTTGTAAAGAAAACACAGGCACGGGACCAGCAGTTAGCATAATGGCTATGTCGCTGAACTCCCATGTAGCCGACTGCAGTTCACGTCCCGGACCCAGTGGCTTAAACTGATGTTGGGCATGTGTGCGTGTATACCCAAGATCCCGAGAGGAGAATGGAGGAGAAGGGATTGCGGCATGGCCATACCCCCTGGAAGATGATTTCTTGCTTTCTATCTCTCAGTCTCTGTCTTTCTGGTGAATGCACACGCCCTATAGCAAACACCTCTCAAAAAAACCCCCCAAAAAACAAACAAACAAACAAACAAACAAAAACACACACAGGCACAAAATGTTTTTAGGTTTCTAGAATCTTCTTTGATTTTTTTCCACTTTTGTGTATGTGTGTGTGTGTTTCATTTGTTTGTTTGTTTTTATTTACAGGCCAGTCAGAAATTTTACTACCTCAGGGGTACTATTACTCAGCTAACCACCTGCAGACAGAACTGAATTTTCACAACACACAAGGGAAAAACACACACACATACGCAGGCTATAGGAAATGCCTATCAGCATTTCCCAGGATGCAGCAGGAACAGTCTTTAAATTTTCCACAAAGAAAGCATTTAAAATATCCCACATTGATTGGTAAGCACAGAATTGGACAGCTGTCTAAAAAACCACCCTTGAACTTCTTGGTGATTTTATTTATAATGTATAACTGACAAATAAAAATTGTATACATTTAAGGTGTACAGCTTGACATTGTGATACACATATATGAAATAATCACCACAATCAAGCTAATTAACCTATCTGTCCCCTCACAGCTTACCTTTCTTATTCTCTTTTCTAACCTCTAGACTCTTTCAGAGACTAGAGATTGAACCAACTCCAAACTAGATTACAACCCTTTACTCCTCCAAATAAATGCAGTATCCTTCTCACTAATTTTGGATAAACAGAAATGAATGCTCTACTGACCAGCTCTTTTAAAAAATATTCTCTCAGCAAATGAATCAACCTTTACAACATTACCTTATGACAGGCAAGGTTACAATTAATTAAGTTATACCTTATTTTGGAGTAATTGCATTTCAGATTGGTAGCTCCCTGATGAGATTTTGTTATTTTCGGGAAGAGAGCCACAGATGGCTAATCCTATCAAAATTATTTTGATTCATGCTAGCTCAAGTTTATAATGCCATCTTGTCATTTGTCTTCTACTTGGGGAGGGTGCTATTATTGTTCACTGAGTGCTGTGGTTCCCGCTACCCAAATTCTAAACACTCCTTCACTGCTCAGGGCACACGCATTGTGATTTGTCTTATATACGTGGGACATTAAGATAGAAAACAGTTTAGAGAGAATGATCAAGAACAGCCACCAACACAGTAACAGTTCCTTCACAAGAAGCTGTCTCTTGGCTTTTTCCTGTCCCTCAGAAAGAATTATTTATACCTTAAAATATTTAGTTCTCAGAGCCAGCGATGGCACAGTCTTATGTTGCTGGACCCCCACATAGCCAACCACAGTTCGAGTCCTAGACCCAGAGGTTTGAAAATCATGCTGGGTTTGTGTGCATGCATGCCCCAAACCCTGAGAGGAGAATTGAGAAGAGATTAACGTATGGTCATCCCCTCTAGGGGATGCTTACTCACTTTCCCTCTCACTATCTCTGTCTCTGTCTTTCAGGTGAGTACATGTGCCCTAATGCAAAAACTTCTTTAGAAATACATAAATGTGTGCTTGCTTCAGCAGCACATATACTAAAATAAATAAATATGTGTGTGTGTGTATATATATATATATAGTTCTTTGTTGAATTAATTCATTCTCAATATTTGTAATTAAGAAAAGATCTTAATTATATACATTAAGAAAACTGGACCCCACCTAGCAGTTCATGGTGTGACTCCTGGCCCCAGCAGCTTGAAAAACATGCTGGGCACATGTTCTTGTGGGCTCCAAATCCCCACAGGATGGAGAAATAAGAAGTAAGAATTGCATAAGAAGCAAGAATTGCAAGGTGACTGTGACCCATTAGGGGGTGCTTTCTACATTTCTTTCTCACTCTCTCTTCTCTATCTCTTGCTATTTAAGTGAAAGAGAGAGAGGAGCACAGGAAGGAGAGAGGGAGGGCAAGAGAGAAAAACAGAGACAGAGACAGGCATTCTTGACAGGGTCTCACTTTGTTGCCCTCCCCCGCAACTCCAGCTTCCCAGTTAGGACCACAAGCGTATGCCATCGTGGCATTAAGGTTGGGTGGGGAAGGAACCCAGGCCTCCCGTGCAACCTCAGTTGTCCCACAACCACGCCCTCCTGTTGTGCCATTGCAGCTCAGCCCAGAAGAGGTATTCTAACTTTATGTCTTTCTTAACTTTCCTACAACCACAGATGATGGTGCCCTGCCCATTACACTCATCGAAGACCCCATACAAAATGAACTATTAATATGTTAACTTTCCTGCCTGAACAGTAATTGAAAGTAATCAGTATCAACATAGCTTTCTATGTGCGAAGTAGTGGGTTCATTATACTAGTGTGTTCAGAATTTATTCATTCACTCAATATATTTACTGAGGTCTACTTTGTGCCAGGCCCTCTTCTCAACCCTAGAGATAAAACAGCAGACATGATCAGGAAGTCACTGCCTTCAGAGGAATGAACTTATAGTAGCTAAAATTGAAATGATCATATAATGTTTCAGGATGCCATTTTCAAGCTGGTTTTAGAAGAGAATTCAGGGTTACCTGTCCAACATCTTGGTACTGGCTCGTTCCAGCTTCTCTAGTATCTGAGGAAGTTGCGTGTCATCATCACAGGAACCTCCCCAGCCAAGAACCCGAGCAAGGTCATTTCCGGTACCCAAAGGCAATACTCCCAGCTGACACTAAAAGAGAGCACAACACAGAGACTTCCAGACACATAGGAGATACTACATTTCTGCATTTCTTTGCTAAGTATGTTATTATGCATTCATTAACTAGCACCAAAAAAAAAGGAAAGGGAAAAAAAAAAAGAATTAGTACTTGCCTGCTTATTCAAGTTGAGCTTATCAATTTCTGACAAAACCCAACCTACACTTCCATCTCCTCCACAGACAAGAATCCGGAAATTGTCAAACTTCTGAAATAATCTTAAACTGAAAGTAGAAAGTATTTTATTTTAGTATAAATAAATAAAAGTCATTTCCCTCATTTTTTCTATAATTGTGTATTTATTGGTATTCATTCAAATTCAGATTAAATTTAAGAACTCCTACTTACATGCTAATTATACTATAGAAATTAATTTGACTACAATTTTTAATTCAAGAAAATTTCCGAATCATAAGATGGGAAGGAAATTATAAGCAGAAATAGAGATAAATGTAGGAAGAGAGTGGGAAATGAGAAACAAAAAAGCAGCAGACACCAGGAAGGAGAATTAAAGGTAAAGTAACAAGAGAGAGTAAAAGTAGTAGTTTTTCTCTTTCCATTACAAAGATAAGTTATTTTCTTGGGAATTAGAAACAGAGTGGAGAATCTGGGGTGCTGATGATAAATGGTGCCTGAGGCAACTCCTAAAGGAACTTGCCAGGTCTACCAATGTAACCCTTCTAGTACTCTCGACTCACCTTTTCCTCCCTCTCTCCTATTCTCAGGCCAGTCTCTTACTTCTTTCTTTGTTTTTGGTAATATATTATTTTCTTAAGTTTATCTATTTATTTTTTCAATAAACAAGTGGACGTGAAAGAGAGAGCTAGCACTCCCAATGGGGTCTCAATGCCATGATCTACTCTGCTGCCCCAGGCAGCCCTGGATCATGGGCAAACATGTGCCCAGTGTACTCAGGAGCTCTCCAGACTTGAACCAGGAACCCTTCCATGTGAGACTGCTTTGCAGAGTATTGCGTGTCACCACTGTACCACTGTCTGGTCCCTAGGCAATTCTTTGCTTCTTTCTTTCTTCAGCTCAACTTTTGACATATTCTGCTTCCTGAGTGTACCTTTATGTATCTCAGGTATGGGGAGTCTTCAAAAAGTTCATGGAAACTGCATAATATCAAAACATTATGTATGATGGCCAGCAGGTGGCATGGTTATTAGACAGCTAGATCCCTCATGGCCAAATGCATGGCGTTCAAACTCAGCAGCTTTAAAAACAGATGTGTTAGAAAGGGGAGACAAAACAACTCAGAAATAGAAGAGATGGAGAAGGTGAGAAAGAGGCTAGATGAGGAATTGTAGGACTTGAACGGGTGAAAGGAAGAGATGTACAAGTAGGTAAGGAAGATGCTGGATATAAACAAAGACAAACGCCCAAACGGCCAGAAAGGCCCGAGACAGCATGAGAAAGGCAACGGCTGATCCCAAGGGCAAAGTGCAAAGAGGCACAATGAGGCTGAAGGAGAGGAACAGAGGAGGTGGGAAAGTGTCAAATTATAAATTGCAAGATGCCTCTTCAGGCACTGGTAACCTAAATCCCCATTTCTGCTGTGTCTTCACACATTAAGGTTAACAGTGAAACCCAACAGGAAAGCTGAGTGGGCTTCAGTCAATTGCAGAGAGACCGAGGCTCCTCCTGGTTCAGAAGACTCAATACCTCCTAAGAAAAATCATATGCATATGCTAAAAATGTATTAAGAGTGTCTCAGGGCATATTTTCTTTCAACGAAAATATGATTTAATCATTTTTCGGACTGTAATTTTTTTTGACACTTCAGAAAGTTAAAAATAACCATTAAAAATGTCTTTGTCACTTGCATGAAATAAATTTGAAATCCTTGAGGAAATGTTTTTGAGATCCATGATAGTATCTGTGCTTTAATTAAATAACTGATTTTTTGTATTACAGTAAATCAGCATCAGCCTTCCATGAAATGGTTTTCTATTGTTATTTTATATTTCTATATTTACACAAGTTCATCTTTCTTGGAGTTAAGCAAACTGGTAGAATTGTCTGAAGTAGGATATGTTCTGAAACATTTTTAAAACAAATTTTGGAATTTGGAAATTTAAATTTAAATTTTGGAATTTATATAGCTATCAAAAAGACTGTTAAAATTTGTCATTAGAACTTTAAAAGTACAGTAGGTGACGTGGTGGTTAAGGAACTGGCCTCCTACATGGCAAACTGAGGTTCGAGTCCCAGACCCAAAAGCATGGAACTCATGCCAGGTGCATGGGCGCACATGCAAACATGCCCAAAATCCTAGCAGGAGAATGGCGGAGAAGGGATTGCAATGTGGCCATCCTTTCTGGGGGTGATTTCTCACTTGTCCTGTCACTGTCTCTCTCTCTCTACTCGGCAAGCACACATACCTTATGGTAAAACCTTAAAACAACAACAATAACAACAACAAAATTTTAAAATAACAGAGGAATGAGAAGATAAACATAGAGATGTCTAGAGGAAAGTACAATTTTCATGAGCAGAAAAAGTCAGACACAATTTGAGCTCAGTGCCACATTTCACTCATGTAAGATTTCTCAATAAGCAATTACCCTAAATGAGGACCTCCATTCATTAAATCAAACACCTGAGCCGGATTTAGCAACTGTTTAAATCGCCGAAGGAATTTTACTCCCTGATTATCTCCACTCTTAGAATTGACAAAAACCAACAGAGGACTAACACAGAATGAAAACGTTGCTCTACAGAAACCTGTTAAAAAAAAAAAATGAAGTACAGGATTAATACATACATCTTTTACTTTTAAACCATCAACAAATATTCAGAAAAAAGAGGATAACCATAAACATAGAAAAACGTATTCATTACTTGAACATTAATACCCAAAATGGAGGTAGGTTCATTATTTACAGGCTAACATGTAGAAGTTATCTTTTAATATAATGCAATATATTGTAATATAATGCAAAATCATATTAAAAATGATGAAAGTATTAACCACAGACAATTTCAAACCTGTTACCTGCCTTAACTACACTTAGATATAATAAAAAACCATAGACTATATATTAATGTAGTCAAAGAATTCTTACTTTAGTCTTCAGCTTTATAAAACTATTTTAACTACTTGTTGAGATCTGACAACATATTTAAAAATTTATAACAGCAGCAGAACTGTGATATATCAGGGCATGGGATAGGGACAGGGGAAGGCCACTAATGGCACAGCTCAAAAAAAAAAAATCACACTTGGGACCAGCAATTGGTGTAATGGCTATGTCGCTAGACTCCCCTGTAGATGACTGCAGTTCAAGTCCCAGACCCAGCGGCTTAAACTCACGCGGGGTGCGTGTGCATGCGTGCCCAAGATCCCTAGAGGAAAATGGAGGAGAAGGGATTGTGGCGTGGCCATCCCCCCGGGAATGATTTCTTGATTTGTGTCTCTCCGTCTCTCTCTGTCTTTCTGGTGAGAGCATGTGCCCTATACCAAAAACCTCTCCAAAAAGAAAAAAAAAAAAAAAAAGGAAAAAACCCCCCCTTTTTTTTTTTTTTTTTTGGGGGGGGGAGAGATTTTCACTGTAGGGCGCGTGCGCTCGCCAGACAGACAGAGAGAGACATAGAGACAGAAAGCGAGAAATCACCCCCCAGGGGGGATGGTCACGCCGCAATCCCTTCTCCTCCATTCTCCTCTCGGGATCTTGGGCACGCACACACACGCACCCGGCGAAAACTCACACTTTTTGAAATTCATTTTTGATTTATGATATCTTCTGGTATAACTTTTATAAAAGTTTGAAAAGCATGAACTATTTTATCAATGCAAAACAATGATAGGATATAGTAAAAAGTCTTGTGATATGGCTTAGAAGCTATCATATTATATACAGGCTCATCAGCATTTACAATTCAGTCACAAAATACTGAGAAAAGTGAATGAATTTATAGAATTAGAAATTCCTGAAGTAAAGTTATAGAAAAACAGATTTTAATTAACTGCCAAACCGACTGGCAGTTTCACTTACGGAGGGGAAAAATATTTAGGAAAAATTTACCTCTTCAGAGTGCATTTCAGTAATATTATATACAGGCTCATCAGCATTTACAATTCAGTCACAAAATACTGAGAAAAGTGAATGAATTTATAGAATTAGAAATTCCTGAAGTAAAGTTATAGAAAAACAGATTTTAATTAACTGCCAAACCGACTGGCAGTTTCACTTACGGAGGGGAAAAATATTTAGGAAAAATTTACCTCTTCAGAGTGCATTTCAGTACAGAATAATGATCTTATTATCCTTATTGAAATGTAAATCTTATTGCAAATGCAAAGTCTCCTACGTAGTAATTTCGTCAGTGGGCTAATAACTATTTCCAACTTCAACACTATTCTTTTAAAAATGAAACACACTATTCAGCCATTTAAATGAACTATATGAAACAGTTCAGAATAATCCATCACATTTCTATTTACTATAGGAAACAAATGTACGTATCTTCACTAAATAGTGCAGGAATACACATACTTACACTCCTGCTACATACCATCAGAGTCGGTGCTGTTCAGTGCGATTGGAGGTATAATTGACACTTTACATTGGCCAAGGGGACACACAGGATGGTATAAATCTTTGCAGGCAGTGTGTACCTAATAACAAACAAATAAACCTTCAAGAGTCATAAAAACAAATTAATGTTTGCTACATGATAAATTACATCTCCTAAATTACATTTAGGATCAACTGCATTACAAACTGTTCACTAACTAACTTTAATGGCAAAATATTTATATCTTTAAGGAATGGACTAAGCATTTTAGGGATGGGAATTTGATTTTCGTCTGTGCAGCCTATTTGCATGACTGCCTCAGGTAAGGCGTATACAGTGAATGAAAGCCTTACTGCAGGCACGCAGGGAGAGAGGATGAAGGGAGAAGGGGAGGGAAGAGGTGGAAGAGGAAAGGAGAGAAAGAGGAGGGGAATGAAGGAGGAGTGAATGACTATGTCAATATCCTTGTCAATATCCTAATCACTATGTCAATATCCAATAAAATAAATTGATGACATCTTCCTTATAAAACTCCTTATAGAATTTAATAAAAATAAGATCGACAAAGTGCCTGTTCTTTCTGCAGTGACACCATAACTTTCTGTCTCCCTTTCTTTTATGACATTTTCATATGACTACAGTTTTAAGTATGTCCATGCCAGTTTCTGTGCTAGACCACTGGCTCTGTAAGGGAAAGAAAAGCAATGCAAACATCACAGGCACTCTGTAATGTGGTGACTCAGCAGAAAGAAACCGTTTCCAGGTCACTCAAGAAACTATTGAGAATGAAAGCAGAGCTAATGTTTCAAGACCCAAGCAATGTGAAATACTGTGTATATTTACTCAAAGAGTCTTTTAAATGTTTTAATCACCAAAAGTAGTTAATTCATAAAGCACTAATTTAATACGGCTTTATTTCATTAGTCCTTTCGGAAAATTGGAATGATAATTCAACTGGAGTTATTAACAATTTTTAGGAGACTAACTGATTTAATAGTGATTCTTAATCTTTTTTTTACTTTAAGAAGTTTTTGCCAAAGGGGACGTGCACTCGCCAGAGAGAGACAGAGACAGTGAGAAGGAAAGTGAGAAATCATGCCCCAGGGGGGATGGCACATGCCCCCTGGGATCTTGGGTACATATGCACACACGCCCAATGATCTTGGGTACATATGCACACATGCCCAATGTTTTTTAAAAGCCACTGAGTCTGGAATTTGAACCACGGTTGACCACATGAGAGTCCAGCAATGTAACCACTATGCCACCTGCTGGCCCCAATAGTGAATCTTACTCTGCTGATGGCCTGGCTTTGGACTGTTTTCTATTATGATTTACAGTAAATAACAACACAAATGCATTTTAGAAAACCAGAATGCACAGAATTTTAAGAGGAATTTAAAAATATATGAAAATCATGTAAAACAAAAATATTTATAACAATGTTAAACGCAGAAGATAGAATTTTATCTTATTATGTTTATAGAAAAGGTAAGAACTATGTCCACAGACTGGTTGATAGCTGGAAAAATTATGAGTTGACTCATTAGGGTTATAAAACTATGAGCTTTTTTTTTTTTTTAACTAGATGACTATTTTCAGGCC